CCGTTCCTGGCTCTGTAGAGAGTGTAGGCATTGTACATTGCGATTTGGAACAGGTAAGCGACAAATTTTTTGGTCCAGTTCAGAGACTTCCGGACGAACGGGTAGTATTTAATGTTCTGATCCAATCGATCCACACCATTCATGGAGGAGTTATAGGCATCGACACACTCCGGTTTTAGGACAGACACCTTCTCCCTCTGTCCTCGCTGCCAAACGTCGACACTAGTCATATTGTCATGGTGACATGTTGTCAACATCTTGACAATCCGTTTGTCCCGCCACGCCACAACCATGACCTTCCCATTGTTCACCGCGACTCTCCCCCCCACACTCAGCTCAGTCTTGGTCACGTCCCTAATGCTCTCAGGCTCTCCCCGGTTCTTCCTTAGCGTCCCACACACATTTGTTTTTACTGCCATCAACTGCTCAGACAATGCCACAGAATTGTAATAATTGTCCATAAACAGAGTGTGGCCGGCACCTGGGAGACGGTCAAGCAGAGAAAAAACAATGTCAGGGATCGTGCGAGGCTCACCAACATAGGGCTGCAGGTTAAAGCAGTAGCCGGTGGCAGAGTCGCAGAGCACATAGGACTTTATTCCATACTTTATGGGCTTCTGTGGGTTGTAGACCTTGAAGGCCAGCCGTCCTCTCCAGAGCAACATCCCCTCATCTATGCAAATATTCTGCCCGGGTTGGAACATTACCTTGAATTTATTGATCAGGTAGTCGTAGACGGGGGAACCTTGTATAACCTGTCAGTTACATCAATTGCAGAGTTGTCATTGTAATGGAGGAACCTCCATATGAGTTGGAACCGGTTCCTGGACATTATTTTAGTGAAGAACGGGGTCACAAACATCTCATCCACGTTCCAATACATTGCCAGGGTTGGCTTGTGGATAACACCGGTGAGGAAAGATAACGCAAAGAACTTTTTTAGCTCTGGAATGGTCACTGGTCTCCATGCATGCTTTCTGCTGTGTTGCGGAATCTCTGGGTTTGCCAGGAAATGCTGCTGAGCATAGAGGTTGGTCTGCTCTGTGATGTGCTGGAGCAGCTCGTCCGTGAGGAACAGCTCCAGGAAGTCAGCAGGCGAGGTGGACTCCAGCTCTGCTGCCGCGTTCAGGGGACCAGGCGTTGCAGTGAAGGGGAACACAGTGGGTTTCCATCCGGATTTCCGCCAGGTGCCGCCTTTACCCTTTGCAACTGTAATAAATAATGGAAATGTATACAATAAATAGGAATCAAATAGAGCTCGTTTTATTGTTTTGATGTGATGTAGAGAAAGATATTCCTACCTCTTTTCTTCACACCTGTATTTGCAGGACTCACGCTGGCAGCGCCTCTGCTCAATGTAGCGCCTGTATAGAATTGTACAATAACTCATCTATCCATATACACACATATCCAAATACATATACATCTACAGACGCACATATCCAAACCACACAGACACACACTCACAGAGACACACGTACACACACACTACACATACATACATATTATACACATACATATAGACACACATGCATATATACATACATATATGAGTATTTTATTTACCTGTAGGCCTCCTTTTACCAGCATTAGTACTCCTGGATTGGGCCAGCACTCTGCTTACTAGAAATACACACAAATACAATCATGAGAATTATACAAGAATACTTTTATTTCATTGCTAAATACATATGTATAATGTATGCCTTACCTGCTCTGCCGGTTGCTCTGGGGGAATCGGGGGATGAGTCACTGCTGTTTGGGTCAGCTTCAGGTTCCCATAGCTCTGAAGAGCCTGTATCCGACGAGGAACTTTCTCTGGACCGACGTGGACCACTGGAACTGCGCGCGGCGGCTCTGGAGCGACGTGCGCGGCAAGGACTCCCGCCAATGGCCAGATGCTTAGCAGTAGCTTTAGCCGTAGCCTCAGGCTTTTTGCCAACTGAAGGCCGAGGCAGATCACCTCCACCTTCATCATGGCCATCACCCACCGACCTTCTGATGGTACCACCAGCACCAAACGCCTCCTCCATCGTTAGCTGCCGCTTTCTGCTCATGTTCGCTCTCCCGATTACTCTCGTGTGCTCACTCTAACCAACCTACTCCCACAATGAGATCTGGGCATCCGGTTCCTTTTATGCCTGATCGAAGAGCTAAAGGACGCTACTGACATCTGCTGGCCGAATAAAATACTGTCAAACAGTCCCAATCAGAGATATATGATAGAATGGATGCGTCTGGATCTGAATACACCAAAACACGTCAAGTGCATAAAATACGTCAATGGCACACAAGCATAGATCTAGAATTGACGTAATATGCGTCATTGGCACTGAAAGAGTTAAGAGTCAAAGTTTTGTGCAAAGTTTAGTTTAAGCAGTCAACTGCGCCTGTGAAACCACAAAGCTAATGTTTTCATAGCAGTCCGCGGCTGCTGACGTAGGCTGATGACGCGTCCTGTGGCCACTCTACACTCTTACACTGGTCTGTCGGGTTGATAATGGAAATAATAAATTTCATTCAATACATGTATCGTACTGTATTTAATATGATTAACAATAGTGTGTTCAAACAAAATATTTAATTAGATTGATTTTTTTCCCCATTTTCCATTATCAACCCGACAGACCAGTGTAGAGTAGCCACAGGACGCGTCATCAGCCTACGTCAGCAGCCGCGGACTGCTATGAAAACATTAGCTTTGTGGTTTCACAGGCGCAGTTGACTGCTTAAACTAAACTTTGCACAAAACTTTGACTCTTAAAACCCACATGTGACAAAATGGAACCACCAACATCTCGCCTCAAATTGCATTAAAAGTGACATTCGTGTCTTAATTCGTTCGTATTTTAACTTTAAAGACATTCACGGTCCGCCATCTTGGTATGCTTCGGCTGCCGTGAGACCATGGATGTATTGCGTGAGACGCGCATGCGCAGGTTTGCATTACATCATAAACAGCTGAGGCAGTGCATCTCTTCAAGGCAGTGTATCTCGGCGTTACACCGGTGCCACAAAAGGAGCCTGCCCTTTCTCCATTTCTTTACAATTCTTGTAGTATTTCAGCCCCATTATTTCAGTGTCTCTTATCTTGACCTCTGTGTGATCCCAGCACACTTGAACTGTTTGGAAATCCAATAATCCAGCAGGAACATTATACTCTGACATTATATCACTCTGATAAGACTGCTCTCAACCATGAAGCAAACTGGATGCACCTTCTGGAATCTTCTTTGGCCTGTGTCGTGGCTGCTCCTTCCACCTTTGTGTGTATTTCCTGACACACTTTGAGCTGTAGTGTGTGACGTGTTTGTATAATTGTCTCATTTGATGAAAACCCTGTGCACCCGCGACCCTGCTCTGTCCTCTGTGGAGTTCTTTGTATTGCGCAAAGACATTCTGGCCTAGTTTTGCATAAAAGGCCTTTCTTACACTGCACATCTCTGGGACTTTCTTCTCAGTTTTTACTTACCAAGTTTCAGTGCATGTCCTTTTTAAATTAAGCATTTTTGGACGGTGAACTGCATAGAGAATATTTCATTTTGCTTTGAAAACTTACACAACCATCTATTTTAACCATCCTTCTTTGCATTAGACGCGGTGACACTGCCTCCTGGAAGCTTGTTGCACTGGTTTAGTGAAAGTATTGGGTATTGCATGTTCAGAATAGGGCTGTTATTGTGAACTGGGGTGTTAATTCTAAGAATGCAATTTTGAATGTCTTTGGCATTGTAGAAATATGTTCAAACTAAGATTTTCCAAACTAATTTCCAGACATAATGTCTTATTTTAAGGAAGGGCTCATCTGGGAATCGTGATATCTTTTAATTTGGTTAAATCAGTAGTTTTTCCTTTCAGTCAACTTGGAATACAATTTCACTGCCCTGTTACTCAATTCTTTTTTCTTTTTTTTTATCATTGGGACAAGGCACAGGGACAATGAACACCTGTATAAAATGAATCTAAATATGCCTAATTTTAGCTACAAAAATCATGAGTGGAAACTGCTGGAAAACTGTCATTTTCTAGCAACCGTCACGCCACTGTGTTATCACTATTATACTACTCATAGTGATGTGCTTTTAAGAATAAGATATTATTTTACTGAATTGAGATTTTTTTTAAATCTATAAAAACAACAATTTGCTTATTGACACCACATTTAAATGTGGTTTTTTGGGCCGAGCCCTAGCCATGTTGTATGGCGTGTTGATAAACTAACATGTTTAAAGAGGTCTGCTTTGACCCAGCACGCAGCCACAAGATTATAGATGTGGACTTTTTAGAACACACACATTCATGTGCAATTAATGATATTTTTACAAGGAAAAGTTAATAGAATTTGCAACTAATCAGATCAAGATAACTTGTAGCTGTCGCAAATGGGACAAAAATCACAAATATTATCGCAAGCGCTTTGACCATGTTTCAATCTCCTGTTTAGAAAATAAAAAACGTAATCCCTCTTTCTTTAAAGGAGCAATATGTAAAAATCTGGCCAAGAGTGGTACTGCTATCACGGTCCAAATTCTGTAGTCTTCTCCCACTCTCCCTGACTCAAGTTGCCAGATATGCAGACCAATCTAGCTGGGACCATATCTGAATAGACTAGAGTTTTATCAACAACAAATCTATAACTAACACATTTTTTAGAAAGGTTCCGATAGCAATCCTGGTTTTATTCCTTGTTTTGTCATTAATGATTATAGAGTCATTACAAGACCTTTTTTAGTCCTGCAAGTTCTGGAAACCCGGATCACAGACTTTCTGATTGGTGAAGCGGTGGAGGGCGGGACATTGAAATTAAAACAATACCAACATTTAGTGGCTACAAATCCAATTTTAAAATGTGCATATCTCTGATGAACTACTGATAAAGAAGTATTTGAAAAGAGCATGGTTTATTAATGCCTTTTGACAGATTAGGGCCATTTAATGATGACTTGACATAAACATTTTATATATTGCTACTTGAACTGTACTGCCCTCCCCTGTCCCAGGCCCCATCAGCAGCATCCTGGTGAACCGCTTCGGCAGTAGACCCATCATCATGGCGGGGGGCTGTCTGGCAGGCTCTGGGCTCGTCGCTGCCTCCTTCTGCAACACAGTTGAACAGCTCTACTTCTTTATTGGAGTTGTTGGAGGTATGTGACTTAACACTTATCACTGTACTTTGTATAATAATAAGGGTCAGAGGATGAGGAGGGAGAGGACACTCTTTTGGTGCTTTTCCATAGTCACGGCGTGGCACGGCAGAGTGTGGGTGCTTTTCCATTAAAACTAGTACTTCCAAGTATCTCCTCAGCGTGGGAAGGGTTGTCAGACCACGTCATTTGCACGCAGCGCGTGCATAAACTAGCAACATTGGTGGGGTGCATGGATCTATTATAATATTGATGGGGTGACTGCTGACATTACCTCCTAGGGGAGGTAATAGCAGAACTGGCTCCTAAAACCTTTTCACGACACCGGGCGACTGACAAAGTATTAAAAGAAAATTCAGCACAGCGCAAGTGGTTGTTAAATGCTTTTGGCTCAAAGGAATGAATCGGACACTGAACTTGTGATCTGCACAATCTTTGCGAAAACCATGGAGAGACCTATGTGACAGAATGGGGCACACCTGTAGCAACAGCAGTCTGTGGTAGCAGTGGTGCAGAGGAGGAGGGCAGAGATATCTGATGCGTCACTTTGTCATATGCCTAAATATTTATTTTACCCTTGTGTTTTGACCAAAAATAAATCCTCCTTGTATTTAGACAATATGTCTCCAACCTAGTTCATTAATGAACTAGGTTATTTCCTTATAACCGTGGTGAAATAATTCACCATGGTTATAAGGATTTACTGACAAATATAATGTATGTAGTGTAAATAGAAGTAAGAGTATATGAAGAGTTTGGTTCCAAAATGTGAGTTTGTGCCAAAATCAGAAATGTGTTTGGTCACTGTTGATAACCCCGTATTCAGTTTTCCGCTAAACGCGTTATCCGCAGTTTTATTCAGTCCTGCTTTCTCCCATTTTTTTCAAACAGCGATAAACGGCAGTCCACCTTTTCCACAGAACGCTACAAATCCACTCAACAAATCACAGCGTAGGATCCTACGTGGAGTAAACTACAATGGCGGCGCCCTGGGGCTGGCATCTTGCTAAATAAAACGGGCTGTATCTATAATTGTAGCACATAATCTTTTCACACTTTTCACCAGGAGCTGGAGAACAAGTGTGCCTTTAATACATTTATGAGTGTGGGTGTGGTTATATGAAAATGTTTAGAGTAAAATTAGTTTTTTTTAAATTGGCGGCGGCTCGGAGGCGAGTAGTAGTAGCAGTAGTTCTGAGCGGAGCCAGAGCAGAGCAGAGCGAACCGGTATTTTCTTCGTTTAGTTTAGTTTGTTTACCATTGACAATGTACTTCTGCAGGTATTAACTGACTAAGATTTAGAGGAAGAAGACACGCAGGTGTCCAAATTGTCAAGAATAACATGACGCAAACGCTGATTGCAAGATACATGGTTAACATGCAGGGCCGGAGTGGGAACATTTTTTGGCCCGGGAATTCTGGATCAGACCGGCCCTTCAGATAAAGTAGTCTATCAAAAAAAACTGAACTGCCTGCTGTTGTAATATCCATAACAAACAGCAGGTGGCCTAAAATCAAGGTTTGTAAATCACCAGACTAGTACTAATCAAGTTATTCTTTGTTCACCCCTTTTAGACTTCTCTGTGTTAGTCACAAAATAACTCAATAATGCATTTGAATAAATCATGATATTTGAATATTCTGGTATCACAATATGAATTGTAACAAATTTTAGACTGACTAGACTTATGTGGATATAAAAATCATGAATTTCACAAATTTTAGAAAAATGTCAATTTTCATTCAAATAATTGTTATTCCCAAAGATTTGGCTATATATTTTTTTAAATAATACATTGAATTGACTCGAAACCATTAAACTATTATCCTCCTTTCAAGACTAAACAAGATAAGATAAGAATTCCTTTATTCGTCCCACAGTGGGGAAATTTCGATGTTGCATCGCACATATAGGACAGTAGTAAGAGCACACAGGGATCACACACAATATATACACTATATACAAATAAGTAGTAGCTATGTTTCTTGACTAACATAACTAGCTGTAGATGCTGAAAATGCTTCAATACCAGTCAAAAAATATATATGTAGTAGCGCAGTTATATACTGTACAGTTAAATAGTGCAGGATAATAAGTAGATAAGGTAAAGTGACATGAGGTAAAGTGACATAAGGTAAAGTGACATTGTTCTGTGACATTCTGAAGTTGCAGTATTGCACATGATTTAAGAATTTACTTAATTACAGGCTATATCCACACGAAGACAAAACGCTTATAATTTCAGAAACTTTTTCTGTAAACACGGAGTTAGCTCAGTAAATGTGTGCGTCCATATGAATGTAGTCAATACGCCTGAAAACGCTGTGAAACTATGCCAGACCTGTTGGTGGCGCTGTGACGCAATGACAGGATCAAGCCCAAACTTCCGTGACGGGAACTGGGCATGCGCAGAATTTTGTAAACAGACAACGTGGCGAGTGGGCGAGCTGGTACTACATTAGTATGGACGGACGATGAGGTTGAACTGTTGCTTCGGGTCGCACTGGATTACAAAACCAACAAGCTACATTGTTGTTGTCATTATTTTCTGAGTGCGGCGCATGCGTGCTTTAACAAGAGGCAGGGCGATGACGCAAGCGTCTCAGATACATTAAGAGAGGCAGTAACCACGGAGCGGCATATACGGAGTTTTGAAATCTTTCCACTCTGGGACCTACTTTCAAAAATTTTCGTTTACACCCCCCAAAACGCCGGCCTCGTATGGACGATACACTGGATTGATAAAGTATTTTTGCGTTTAGGCTTGAGCTTGACTTCGTGTGGACAGGGCCACAGATGAATGAAATTTACAGGCTCAGCAGTTCTTATTGTACAGTCTGACAGCAGCAGGAAGGAAAGACCTATGGAACCTCTCCTTCACACAGCGAGGGTGAATTAGTCTGTTACTGAAGCTGCTCTCCAGAGCAGAGAGTGTCCTGCAGGGGGTCATGGTCCAGCATAGATGTTAGTTTTCCCAGAACCCTCCTGTCCCCCACCTGCTGCACTGTGTCCAGGGAACAGCCCAGGACTGAGCTGGACTTCCTGATGACCTTGTCCAGCTTCTTCCTGTCCCTCTCTGTGATGCTGCTGTTCCAGCAGACCACACCGTACAAGATGGCTGATGCCACCACAGAGTCATAGAAGACAAAAACAAAGACTAATGCAAATACTACACTAAGACAAAAATGTACTTGCTACAACTTTATACAAAACCAAAATGAATCTGAACATACTTTAATGTTGTCCCAGGGGAGCACTAAAAGCAAACTAAATGTGAACCCGTATCAAGACGAGAAAACACAAACTGCACACTATTTAAATCAAACAAACCCAAACTAACAATAGCAAAATGAAGCACATTAAAACATGAGTAAACTCTGTAGACGTGCACTTGTTTCTGCTTCTTTGTTAATGATAAGGTTATTATCCAATGACAAAGGATGTCTTTTTCTGTTGACATGACAATAAATGGTTCACATCTTTTGACAAACACAAAATATTCAACTGTTACTTTCCTAATGTACAAAGAAGTTAAAAATGTGATTTATGCCATATACATTATGAAATAAATAAATTCATGGTCTTAAAAGGCTTAGTAAAATTTGATTAAAAATACAATCTTCTTTTTGGTTTTTACCTGCCCATTCCTGAGGATCTTCATTAATATGAATGGACAATTGTTGTATCTGAGGACCTTAGAAGCAATAAATGTAATTGACGGAATGCTAATCATTTAGGGAGTCACGTCGTCATGTTTTGCTGCATATTTTTGTCCAAGAGACTTGTAGATATTAAATAAACAGAAAGACAATAAACAGAAAGACAATAAACAGAATCATGATAGCCCAAGTTGATTACATTACGTTTATTTTTTATTTTTTTTTGGGTATTCTCGCGGATTTTGTGTTGGAAAATCTTGCTGGGATTTGGCAACTTATGGGAGCCGTGTGCTTCGATGTGAGTGGTTGAAAGCAGACTTCATTCAAGATAACGGACAAGTGGTCTATCCAATCACATACAAGGATTTTTTTTTTACAAGGCCCTGCCTTCTGAAATCCAACCACTATGGCTCAGTACCAGACTCATGTGTGAAGTGCAGCGAACTACATGGGTCTGGCGAGAGTCAGGCTATAACATGTTAGCCTAAGGTGAGATGAGGCTAGTGTGTGGGCCTTTGTCCTTCTAAATGGATTGGTAGGCCCGGGCTTGCATTGTGCAGCCTTGGTAAGAGACAACGGCTGCAAGGATTCTTTGAAGTGTAGGTTTTAATAAAGCCAACAACTGTGTGTAGCAAGAGCAGATCATACAACCAGAATGGGCCTTTGGTCGATGGCAGTCCTTTTTGGGTCTTGATGGCGATGAATGGGGGGCCAGCCCTAGTTCATGGGGCCTGGACCATTCGGTGCATCATGTGGTTGAACCAAGTCCTTCCACGATCCACAGTCTAGGAGCCACAGTTCAGCAACTTCTTCAGGTTGAAGCTGGAGGCTATTGAAGGGTTGTGGAAGTCCTTTCAAACCTGGAGCTGAGGTTTGAGCCCATCTTGGAGGCCCAGGGCCCCCTTTGTTGCCTGGGCAAAGCCCAGAGGTCCTGCTACTCCATTGCCCCAAAGCAGACTGAGGCCCTGTTTATACTGAGACGCTGCGCAGGCTATTAACAAACGACCTGGCTGCTAATGCAAATTTCTCAGCGTTCACATGAGGTTGAAAAACTATGTAGTTCTAGCGCCCGGCCAGTAGTGGGCAGAGAAACTTTACAACACTCACACGAGCCCCCCTCTCGGCAGTATACTCACTTCCTGTGCCAGACCCTCAGAACGCACCAACATCATTCTGCATTTTAACAGCAGCTGTGAAAATGAAAACTGAACCTAGAGCTTCGCGTGGTCTCGTTTGGACGAACAAAGGTGTAGAATCTTCCTCTGTGCCGCGCTGGAAGCCCACAAAGCTAGTTAGTATGACCGCCGCCATTGTTGTTTATGTTTGTTCTCCGCTACTGC